ATAGAGTTAGCTCACCCGAAAGTATATAAATAACAGTGTACTCTGAGAGAAACTTGGAATTTTTAAGGGAACACCACTGAGCTGAGTGGATATTTATTTTTAAAATTTTATACTGGTTTACTTACAAAGTTCATATACGTTGTTTTTCACACCAGATCTTTCCCACTTCCTTAACCCGCTCCTGTCTCCACCCGTCAAATTGTGCGACCCTGTGATTACCTCCCTGCCCATATTCCCCCCTTAGATCCTCATACACGTTTTACTAGTAATCTATTTCTACAGTAATGGTTTTACACAGTATTTGTCCTTATGAGACCAAGTTCATTCAACATAATGCTCTCCAGTCCCTCCCAGGTTAGGTAGTGATTTAGAAAATCATTGTTCCTGCGTGCGTGCTGTGTAGTATTCCATTGTGTGACTGTCCCATACTTTCTTAGTCCATTTGATTGTGGTTGGACATTTGGGCTGTTTCCATGTTCTAGCAATGGTGACGAATGCTGCTGTGAACATTGGTGTACAAGTCTCCTGTGCCTCAGTTTTCATTTTCTCGGAGTATATTCCAAGCAGTGGAAGCTGGGTCATATGGAATTTCCATGTTCAGCTTTCTGAGGAAACACCAAACTACCTTCCAGAGTGGTTGTACCATTTTACAATCCCAAGCGGCTATTTATGAAAGGTGACTACATCTTGCTTCATTAACACCCTGTGTGTTTTTGCCTAATAGAACCTCCTCCAGTCTCTGGTCTCCGCGTCACCGTCGTGGGAGTGACGGACGTTACTCTTACTTGGATCAGTGACAATGGCACTGATAACTGCAGGATGCAGCTTGAAAGCGTTGGAGGCCAAAAGGAGATGGTGGTCAATATCTCAAATCTGAAGCCAGGGACTCGACAGAACGTCTCCCTCTCTTCTCCAGAGTCAAGTAAAAGACAGGAAAATCCAGAAGGTGAGTAACAAAAGTTTACTTCTGTTTAAAAATAAAAAATAAAAAAAGATGTTGTCCATAAAAATGTGCTAAGAGTGCCATGTCTCCTCGTCTGACTTCATAACAGGAAGGACAGAATCCTTATGAGTATCAGCAGCCGAAGGCTGATTCTTAAGAAACAGTAGTGTGACGTAATTCCTGTCTCCAACCTTTTACCAGTGTTGACATCAGCCCTTCTTCCCATGGCATTCTCTACATCTCTGCTGGGTTTGAGCATTCCTTGTAATGGCCACATAGACCTCACAGACCACATTCAGGATTATTGGGTTTTTATGGGATGTCACAGGTTCAGAATGACTCAGGGTTTTGGTCTGGACAGCATCTTTCCCAAGCTTACAGGAAGGCCTTGCTTTGGCCCCATGGACTTCCCTCCTAGGACGGTCTAGCTTCTGCCCTATTTGGGCATGTGTTACAAGGCCCTTTAGCACCATCAATAAGTGCCCTGAGGTGCCCTCCTCCTCTGGTAACCCATTGTTCAATGATCTCGCTCCACCAAATGCCTGGAGGGATCCTGTTGTAACAGCCTTGCTGTGGGAACTGAGAAGCCTACTCTATCAGCTTTTACATTTTCTGGTTTTCCTTTCTGTTCTTTTGCTGCTGTTTTTCCAATCTCTCTGGTGTTTAAGTTGCCGCAAATGACGGCTATAGCTGTCCTGCATATTTTAATTAATAAAAAAAGGAACATCATTCGTATGAAGTGTACTAATGTATTTATTTGTTAATTATTCAGTAATACAGGAAAAAAAAATGTGTTTCTAAGCACAGTTGTCAATTTAAAAGTGTGTGGCAACGTGTTAAAAACCCTTTCTGGGTCTAGGAGGTACACCGTGCAGGGACTCTGGGCCTAAAGTATATTATTCATTCCTGCTCTTTCTTCCTTGGTAGTGCTGAGGTACTCCTTTTTATGTCTCCCATGCTGGAGTTGACTTTCAGTGACTTGAAAAATAGCACTTTAATATTTATACAGTGTCACGGAATCTATAGAGGGCCCTCCCTCTGCATTTTAATGTCTTCTCTTTCTTGAATTGAAGAAGGAAGGAAAAACGAGGTCAGAATAGAAATACAGCTGGAGACCTTTTGCGATCTGGAGTTTAGACCGATCCCTTAGTATTTTTGCTCCTCAGTTGAATGGAGGAGAGGTGCGTGAACTCAAGCGGATGACTGGAGTAACTTAGCACCTCACCGAGAAAACGAGTGCTGGGCAGGCTTATCTGGTAGATAGATGACTCCTGTTGCTTTTGTTACAGTGATGTACAGATTTCTAGCCCTCCCAGTGACTCAGCGCTGGGAGTTGAAGAGGACATGTCTTCATCCCATTTTATACTTAAGGAAAATGCTATAGTGTGGGTGTTAGGACCCTTGAGAGCCAGTGATGGTAACCAGATTTTAAATTGCTTCAACTAAAGGAGCCACTAATGGCTTGTGCTGCCACCCTGCTGTGCTCAGTGAGCCCTGAGGGGAAGAGACAAGGTGACTTCTTTCCGCTTCTCAGCTTCGTTCTCAGAATTGCTCTCTCCATGTACTTCTAGGAGAAATGCTCCCACCTTCATTTTTTCATCTCACACCCCACACTCCTCCAATCACTGAAAGGTCTAGTCTTGGGGGGGGTGGGGGGGAGTCCTTGACTTAGGCTCTGATTAACCAGATTTGAATTATGTCCTTGACCTTGGAAAGCATGTGAAAGGTAGGGACGAGAGGAGACAGTGTCCCAGAAGGGAAATCCTGTGTAGTGGACAAGAATGAAGATCTTGCTGCTCTCTAGGGTGAGAAGTTCCTGCTTAGGATGAACTGTTAATTCATTTGGCTGCTAACTGAAAGGTTGGTGGTTTAAGTCCACCCATGGGAGCCTTGGAAGAAAGTCCTTTATAATCCATCTTCCCAAAACTAGCTTTTGTGAAAATCCCAAGGAACTCTGTTCTTCACTGATATGCATGGCGTCAGCCATGAGTTGGAATCAATTAGAAAACAGCTGTTTGTTGTGTGTGTGTGTGTGTGCGCGCGCGCGTGCATGGGGTGTGAATGTTCAAACTTCGAGGGCATATGTATGGAGCAAATAGCTGTCAAATGTCAGGGCCCCGCCAAGATGATGCCCCTCTCCTGGGGGAGAGAGGGAACACCATTTATGGGCAGTGATTGTGGGCATGGTCTGGTGTGGGGCAGGGCGAAGGATGTGTCTGTGGTGTATTTAATGTCCTTTGCTTTTTGTGTTTGACACAGAAGCCAACAACCCAGAGAGAAGCCCAAGGGAGGTGCCGCCTGCGGCCCCTGGGGACGGATACAGCCTTGGGCCTGCAGACCCTTCTTCTCACCAGGACTCCCGGGCCACGGAAGTCCGGCTTGTTGGATTGAAGCCTGGCATGCCGTACAAGGCCACCGTTTTCTCTCAGGCAGCAGATGGCACTGAAGGACAAGCCCAGGACATAGAGTTCAGGACAAGTATGTCGAATTTTGTTCAGTGACTTCTGCCAGAATTTTCTAGCACTAGGTTTAGTTTCCTATGATTCCATTCCCGTGTTATTTTTTGCTCCATGGCGCATTTTGTTGTCTGAGCTTGTTTTGTGGAAAAAGCTTTTCAGCCAAAGCAGAGCTGTTCTGTTTCTTTTAATTAATTCCATAACACAGGTACTTTTTCAGTTAAACTCAGGAAAACACATTGAGCCACTCTTTGTGCGGGCAGTGGGTGCTACTTCATGCCTGTCTTTTATATCTGCATCTCAAAGGCCTCTACCCGCCACTGAGATGGGCTCGAATGATATTCACAGCTTCTAGATACTGGGTTTGTCAGTGCTTGGCCACTGGAGCTCCCTTTGCTATTGGGGACCATCAAATCTCCTTCACTGCATGGAGACCTTAAGGTGACAGAATGGACCTGCCCCATGACAGCTTGCTAGCATGTAATCTTTTTTTTTTAAATTTATTTTTTTATTATTAATTTTTTTTTCTTGCTGGGATGTAATCTTAATGGGATCAAATTGCCACCAGAGTCACTGGGCGGGTTCAAACTGCCAGCCTTTTGGTCAGCAGCCAAGGGTTTAACTAATACGCTTGGTGGGAAGATGAGGTCGTCTGCTCCCATGAAGATGTGCAGTCTTGGAAACCCTTTAGATCCTTGTCCTCTTCCCTGTAGGGTTGTGTAAGTCACAGCTGGCCTGGTGGCAGGGGATTAGTTGCTTTGGTCAAGGTATTGATCACCCTGGCTAGATTTCTTTATATTTTTTTTTCCATGCTAGCTTTCTTGTTTGTTTTTTTTTAAATTGTGATTTTGACAAAAGTTTATAGAAAAGTTGGATTTTTCATTCATTCATTGTTGCACATTTTCCTCCTTAACAACCCCCCCCATATTTCACTTAAAAAATTCATTCATTGTTGCATAATTTCCTCCTTCTCCCCCTTCCCCCACCCCCAGGGCACTTTGCTGTACACCTCTTATTCTGGACGGTTGTCCTATAAATAACGCCTAATCATATATTCCTTTTTAAAGAGTTATTTCCTTTATCTGTCCCAAATGCAGTGTTTATTATTTATCCCCTCTTTTCTTTGTTTCCCCCCAAACCCCATGTCACTCCTGTTTTGTAAGTGGTGTTATATAGTATTTGTCCTTTTGTGACTGAGATATTTCACTCAGCATCATGTCCTCCAGTATTACCCATGTTGTGTAGTAGTATTTGAGTTCCTTGTTTTTCAGTGCTGTGTAGTGTTCCATTGTGTGAATATACCATAGTTTTTCTATCCATTCATTTGTTGATGGGGTGCTTGGGTTGCTTCCATCTATTTTGAACAACACAGCAATAAACATGGGTGTGCATATATCTTGTTTGGAAGGCATCTCTGGTTTCTTTAGGGTATATTCCCAGTAGTGGAATGGCTGGGTCAAATGGTATTTCTGTTTACAACTTTTTGAGAAAGTGCAGGCTAGATTACTTGTACAGGACAAGAAGGTTTGAATGACGATCCGGGGACAACTTATAGTATCTCATCCTCTGGGAAGATAGATTGTGGTCAATAATTTTAAAGTGAGGAGGCACAGGGTTAAGGACACCGTGAGGGACATCCTGAGAGTCAGGGTGGAAGGCCTGAAGGGGAGGCTGAAGAGCTGGAAATAAATGGTGTTTCTTGAGCCCAGTAAACACAAGTCATAGCGGACTTAGACATAGCACTCACTAATAGGACCCAGTGACAGACCTTCGGTCAGACAACCATGGTGATGCGGTGTGTAGTGTCAGCTTCCTAGGGAACAGAGAAGACAAGGGAGAGGACAGAGAGAGCTTGGGAGGACAGATGGGTGATTGGAGAAGAGCCACCACTCTGATAGTCTTTTCTTTTGAGGGTGGGATTGATATCTGATCTTACAGATGATAATACCAAGGCTAACATGATTTCCCTGGCTATTCAAGCAGAACCAGTCTTGGATCTTAGACCTTTCTCATGCTAAATTCTATAGTCCTGTAGGGTATAGGGTTTGTTCTTGGATGTATATAAGGTTCAGAGCTTTCCCGCGTATTGCTCCTGGTGTCCAGGTTAAGGTTTGAGTTGAGACCATTCTATTGTTTGGTGAGGAGTCCACCATCTCTCTAAAACCCAGCGCACACAAAACAACTATGAGATATCATCTCACCCCAGTAAGAAGAGCAAAATTTAACAGAACAGCAGACATCAAATGCTGGCAAAGTTGTGGAGAAACTAGAACCCTTATTCATGGTGCTTTCTCAAAAAACTTGAAAATAGAAATACATTTGAGCCAGCAATTCCAATACTGAGAATTTACCCTAAAGAAACCATAACTGCCACCCAAGCAGATATATGCACACCCATGTTTATTGCCGCTTTGTTAGCAATAGCAAAGAGCTGGAAACAACCCAAGTGCCCTTCAACAAACGAATGGATAAGAAGCTGTGGTATATTCACACAATAGAATACTATGCAGCATTGAAAAACAAGGAACGCATGAAATATTATGCAAAATGGATGACCCTGGAGGACATAATGCTGAGTGAAATATCTAAGTCACAAAAGGACAAATACTGTATAGGGCCATTGCTGTAAAATGGGACTGACATCAGAGTTGAAGGAAGACAGAGAATGAGGGGAGGAATGATGTATATTGCAATGAAACAGATGAGGGAGAGAACTGTTTAAAAGGGATATATGAATGGGTATTATTTTTTTTTCCAATAGAGAATATTTTTTTAAAATTTTGAACATTTACAGAGATTTTGGATTTCCATCCATTCATTCATTCATTCATTGTTGCACTTTTCCCCTGCCCAGCCCTCCCCACCTCCAGTTTGCCTCTCTCCAGAAAGTAAAAGAAAAATTCTTTCTTTGGTATACAATCTCCCCCCCCCCGCATGGGTATTCTTGTCATTACAGAAGTCCAGAGTGAAGGCTTCACAGTGCAGTGGATTTGGGGTGAGGGATTGCATAACAATGAAAGAGTTTTTCTTTTTAAGGAGAAGAGTGAATTGGGGGGCGGGGAGGGAGAAAAGTGCAACAGTGAATGACTGGAAACCCTAAGTCTCTGTAAACTTCCATTTAAATTAAGAAAAAAAAATGTAAAAACAAAACAAAACAAAAAACCCCAATGCGCAGAAACTATCAGTTAAACTATCAGTTGTCGTTGGCCAGGGTTTCTTCACTGAGCGATGATGACGGGACTCACAACTAAAAGGCGTAGAGGAGGAAGGATAAGTTGCCAAGCGTGACTATATACCTGGTGACAGCTTCTGTTAAATTTTTAACTTCTCTTCTGCCCTCACAGAATCTAATTGTCAGGTTTTTGACATCCAAGTTGTGAATATCAGTGCCACAAGCATGAAACTGACCTGGAAAATCAAGAATCGTGTTTCAACCTCCATCTACACCTTCAAAATACAAGTTGTCGGGGAGACCCAGTCCTTCAATCTTACGGCCAATGAGACCCAAGTTCTCATTGCTGGCCTCACGTCTAGCAGCTTGTATAACATCACCATGTATCCTGTGCAGGATGGGGGTTCAGAAGGCACACCTGGCTCCCTCCAAGTGTATACAAGTGAGTTCACTCCTTCCCCCTAAGTTTTCTTGTCTGCCTGCCAGCAGTGGACAGGCCAGTTGCAAAGACAGATAATGCCTGTTTTCTGACGAAAGGAATGCATAGTTTCGTGTAGAAGGCCACAGGGACTCTTCCTCCAGGCTGTGTGAGGTCATACTGATGGTCATTGATGCTGGCCACACGCCAAGCTCCATGTCACATTCTTCCCTGCACGACCTCATTTAATGCTCACATTAAATTAGCATTCCTCCACTTGGTGGCCTCAGCTCTCAGCTGTGTTTCTAAGAACCATTCCAGGTGATGTGACCTAGGACAGATTGCTCATTGGAGATAAAGAAATCTGGCTCTCTACATCTGTCTGTGGGAGGACTTGCTGAAAATGTTGGCTTCCCTCGGCTGTTGTCTTCAAGGTGATTCTGATGCTTTCACCCAGCTAGAGAGGCATGGCCCAGTCAGCACTCTTCGTTTTCTTGGGGGTGTGGTCTGTGCCCCAGCACTCCTACAAAAGCAGCTTATCCCTGGAACTCTGGCCATTTTCCTTGGCTCACCTGGGATAGCCACACCCTCAACTGCTGCTTGAGCTGCTTGGGAGTGTCCGGATTTCTGAGCCTTGAAGAAACCCCAACTGGAAGTTTGAGGTCAGGAGCAGTTGGAGAAAATGGTTTACTTTTAGAATCATGGGCTGGTTTGATACATTAAACATGGTGTCATTTTTGACCCCTGCAGTCTGATGGCTAATCTGGTACTGATATTTTTGGAAGCATTTGTGATTACTTTTGGTGTCAGCGTAGTGGGATTGATTGCAGGGGTCTAAACTCACTGTAACAGATGGCTTTGGAGAAAAAGGAATAAACAAGAGACTGAGAAATCTTTGGTCTCTGGATGAGATAAACACAGTGGTAAATGCAGCCCTATTGCTACCATCAGTTACCTAAGGCAAAAGTTATTCTTGGGATATGAAGAATGGATGTAACCCTTGAGGAGATGGCTATTTGGATATATGTGGAAATATGGAGGGATACGGAAGAACAAAATTTTCCAGAAATTCCCTGGTGTCTGCTTTCAGCAGAAGAATGTAGGAGTTAAGATTACCCATATGAGTACTAAACCAAGCCCTGCCAGGTAGAGTTATTCCCCTTAACCTCAGGGTCTGCCTGGAGAGGAAAAATCATGTAGGACCAACTGGAAATTAAAAAAAAAAAAGGGATATATATAGATGGGATGGGCAGGATGAAGGAACTATTTTGTAAGGGATATGGAATAAGGGATATTGTAGAGGCAATCCATAAGTTCGTGGCTCATTATTGGGTGCTTCCTGAGGAGCCATAACTAAAATGTATTGTAAGATTACTATTCATTGATAAGTTTAGCACAGGATCTGTGGTGCTGAGTTCTACAGAATGGAGGAGGAGTCTGTTTGGATTGGTGTAAGACCCACAACACACTATAGAACAATCACAAATGTTAATACAGTATCCAGTTACACAATAGGAAAACCCAAGGGGCCTTTTAGCTTTTGATATATTGGATAAAAATTGAGATTAGATTGGTTTATTCTTCGAAGGGAGACTGCCATTCTCCCTTCTTAAACAACTAGAATTTTTCAGAGAAAAAGACATGCTTACTTCCTCAGGGTATTGATTTACTAGGAATGGTAAAATCAGAAATTGGCTATCTAAAACGAGGGGGAGGGGCTCAAGACATAAAGAGTGAAGTAACTGGCTTACATATTCTCATGAGTATCTGTGGTTGTGAGGGAATGGTTGGTCCTGATTATTATTGGAATGGCTCGTAATTACAATGTCCCCTTGGCTTTTGGTTGCTAATATTATAATATCATCAGGAACACTATTTTCTTTCTTTTTCCTGAGATGTTCCTTAAAAATTTGATAGGCAGCACATAGAAAGATTTCTGCTCCAGAGGAGGCCCAGGAAACAGAACGGTGTAGGTATACCAGTTGCACAGTAGTGTGATAATAGTGTTGGAGATCATCCCTGCAGTCAACTCTGGCCTGGAGCTCTGCCTGTGTTATTGCAGAGGCTTTCGTGGTGAGGCTTAGATAAGATGACTCCTCTTTTTACAGATGAGAAAGTGACATCTCAGCATGGCTGAACAATCTGCCCGTGGCCACAGAGCTAGCAAGTGGCCAAGCAGGAACCTTAGTCCGAGAGTGACGGGTTCAAGATCCAGGCTTTGGCCTGCAAGAATATTTCTCTCAGATGCCTGATTCTTCCTAGATTGTGTCTTAACACACTTCTAAACATCTTCTAGATTATCTCTTTGAGAAAACAAACGTTCACTTCTTAACCACTTTAACTGTTTAATCTCTGTCAGTTAGGATTAGGTTCAGCTCTTTCCAAACACCCTGAATATCAATGGCATACTTCTCTGCCATGTAAAGGCAGCCTAGTGCTAGGCAGAATGGAGATGGTGGAATGTTAAGCCGGGCTCAGCTGCAGGAAGCAGAAACCATGAGGTGAAAGGGATTTCTTTTATCCCAGGAATTGAAGGTTGATGGAATCTTTGGAAAGTTTGGGAGCACACTTGGGATCAAACTTCCAAAAAATGATGCCTAGACCTGTGCTACTGCCGTGGCCCGCCTCAGCCGCCCTAATCCTGGAAGCCTCTGCTGTAAGCTCTTGGCTCCAGGAGAACGTGTCCCAGATGTGATTCTAAGTTGGTAGAGGCAACGACCACAGTGCTGGTTCTAGAGTCAGACTAGGCTCGCGCGATTAGCACCAGCAGAAGGTGTATGTCTCCTGCTTCACGCCTTGTGCTGAGTTTTGCATCTGTGGAGTGAACCACTGGGTCCTAGAACGATGTTGCGGGGAAGACCCTTTGCTGCCTTGTGACTGTACCAGCCAGCAGAAGTGAGGTTTCTGTCCTTTTCTCTCGCTTCCATCACTTGAAGAAGGCATCTTGTTGCCTGAATCCAAATCATTTTAGATTCCTAGCTTCAAGGAAATCTGATGAATGTCATTTCTGGCTCTCTTGCCTCTTCCATAGAAAAAGTACACAAGCAAGAAAGATGAGGTTGATTTTATTGTCATGCTCACCTTGGACAACTTCACAGAGGCTACCAGGACTCAAGATGTTCACCACATCTTTAGTGTCTTCCTACCCTCAGTGAGGTTCTGCCCAGAATGGCAGCCTGAACGCTTATCAGTGCTTCTTCACTTCAGTTACAGGAGGAGGAAGGGGCAGAAGAAAGTGTTTCCATCTTGGGAAAGCAGTTCTCTTACATACAATTTAGCCTTGTAGCTATAACTAGCTTACATGAAGTCTGGGAAATGTAGTGGTGCCTCCTCGCCCCCAGCTTTAGTGGCCTAGTGGCAAGAAACTGTCCTGCAATCCTGAAGGCACATAGTCGTTGGAGGCCACCAGCTTCTCCTTGGAACAATAGTTCTGCTCACATATGATTGTCTGAACTTAGCCTTGTAGCTTTATTTCGCTGACATGAAGTCTGAGAAATATAGTTTCTCCACCTTCTGGTTCTGGTGGCCCAGTGGCAAGAAGCTGTGCTGCAATCCCAAAGGCACCCAGTTCAAGGCTGCCAACTGTTCTGTGGGAGAAAGATGGGCAGTCTCCTCCAGTGTGATTAACTGCCTCTGAAAATCCATGGGAGGGTCAGCTGTGGGTTGCTTCCAACTCTCTGGTACACAACAGTAACAACCATCAAAGGTCCTAGAGCTAACACGGTACCCATACACCCTTCTTCACCTTTAGGTACAAATCTGAGATGTGTGACAAAAAAAGCCAAGAGAATGGATTTTGGGGATGCACAGCAGCCTGTGCACATCTCCCTGAAAGGCAGCCTTGGGAGGTTTAGTCGCCTCAAGATCAGGCAGCCAGCAGCAGCCCAGCCTCAGTTCTGGAGCCTGGGCCCTGACCAGTCTCCCAGGGTGACTGTGAACAGTCAGTCTCTGCCCTCCTGTGGTCAGGTGCTCTGCTGAGGGTCAGAATCCTGATGTCTCTGGGCTTGTGCTGTAGGAAGCAATGCAAAAGAAAGTTCAAGTGTCCTAAATTTCATATTCAGTGCAGTGTGGAATTAAGTCACCCATGCCTTCTGGAAGAATATGATTTTTATTTTTTAAGAAAGTAAGTTTTGTGTCTCCTTTGCTTTGCTGTTGAGTTGAGTGATCCAATGAACAAAAGATCTGAAGCCTTTCTATAACTGTTGTCATTTATCAAAGTTTATAGAAGTTCCAGAGGCATGTTGTTTAGAAAGTGGGTGCCATTCCTGCTTTCTAACCTGTCTTAAGCTGGGAGATACACCAAACACTGTCTACCATGGGTAACTGTTATGGCATCTGTCACCCCGAGGACACAAGGTTTAGCATCACAGCAACTCCAGATTACCTGAGTACAGCATATTGACAGAAGAGTGCTTTCCTATGAGTTGTTTTTTTTTTCAAAGTTGAGACAGATAAAGGTAACAGAACCTTTATCATTTCAATAGTCTTGACATGAACAGTTTGTGCTCTTTGTGCTGTTAAGCTGTCATTACCTTTACTTGTGCCAAAATTAGAGCATTTTCCTTAACAGAAGCTTGGTGTCTCCTAAAGAAATAGATCCTTGATTGATTTATATGTCTTCTTCCCACAGCTCCGGGTCCGGTCTCTGACTTCCACGTGACGAGTGTCACCACCACGGAAATCGGCTTGGCGTGGACTAGCAATGATTCGGAATCCTTTCGGATTGTGACCACGCAGGCTGTATCCGGAGAACCTGGGGATGAAACCATCACCTCCGACCACAGTATTGTTATCCGTGGCTTAACCCCTGGGACAATGTATAATTTTGAAATATTCCCACAAGGACCAAATGGGACAGAGGGGCCATCTCAAAGCATTAACCATCAAACCAGTAAGTGACTAGTTGGAATTTTGAGCGTAATGTAATGCTTTTAAAAATCAGTAGAATTGGTTAATTCCAGGTTTTCCTTTTAGTTATCCAGAGGGGGGAAAAACCCTTTGAAATGTCTTTAATGGTAAGAATATATGTTGATTTTAGGATGTACAGAGACTTAAAAAAGAAAAGGGGGTGGAAATCACATAGAAACCACCAACCAGAGGTAATCACTTTGAAATAAGCTAGGTTTCTATGACAGTCTTTGGTAGATTTTTTTTTCCCCTTCTCCATTTCTTTTCCCAGAGTTCAGTGCGGTGTTTGAAATCCGCATGGTGAGTGTCACCATGACCGAAATGCGTTTGGAGTGGAAGAGCACAGACAGTGCTTCACTGTACACCTACCAAGTACACGTACAGTCCAAGGTCAGCTTTACTAAAACAACCAGAGAGAAAGCGATCACTCTCCAACAGCTATCACCAGGCACCTTGTATAACATTACAATCACTCCAGTAGTGCATGGTGTCCAAGGGAACTCCAGCTCCATTGCAGAATACACACGTGAGTGTCTTAGGTCATCTTTTCAAGGGAATATTATCCCAGGTCTTTGTTAGGAGGGTGGGAAGGATGCTGTCGGACAAGTGGTCAGATGGGGGCTGATTGTTCCAGGCTGAATTTGAGATGGCTTGCTTCGAAAACACTGAACTTGGCAAAGGATCTTCTTAGGGCACCAGTGTGGTAGCCCTGTGGTCCTGCCATAGATTTTAGAAGCAAAAAGTGCTTCTTTGACAATGAAAACGCTTCCAGGAATTCTTTGAGAATGCAGACCAGAGGTTTACCTTGCCATGTTGGCACTCAAGACACTGCCAGGTTGGGGAGCTTTGCAAGGTACCGTGAGGGAAAGGTTTTGCTAATATTTGACCTAAACTGATGATAAAAGAGGGCTATTTCTGTCCAAGACATTTTTCTTATTCATTAGTCTGATCAGAAATAGATTGGAAATTATTTGTTAAAAATAGATTTTGGTAAAAGAAAAATTCTTTCTGGGGAAGGAGTCAGGGGGAGGGCTGAGCAGGGAGAAAAGTGCAACAATGAGTGGAAATCCAGAATCTCTGTAAATGCTCATTAAAATTATTAAAATAAAATTA